CTTCTCTTCTCTTCTCTTCTCTTCTCTTCTCTTCTCTTCTCTTCTCTTCTCTCTCCCTTTCCCTTTCCCTTTCCCTTTCCCTTTCCCTTTCCCTTTCCACAGTACACTACTAGGTCTGATCAGTGCAGATAATTAGGAAAAAAGGCACACGTACAGTACTGAAGCAGCATAAAAAGTTGCCTCGTGTGCCATTTATGATCAACAGTTAACTCCAGCTTTAACCTTCAGGAGTACCACTGTTGAGCAGGCTCTCTCCCTGTTCTGAACTTTCTTGCTTTCTCTCTCTCCTAAGTGAAGAACTGTGCATTGGTCTTTATTCCATTTCACTTGTACCATCACACTCTGGGGGGCTGTTATCTCACTTAAAATAAAAATCCCCACAATTAGAAAAGTAGTGTGTAAGGGGAAATTGTTTCCCTTGACACCTAGCTTTCTGGGTGCGAGCAGTAATTTGTTGGCTGGAATATTGTTGGGGACGTGCTCTAAATTAGTTGGTGCAGGGGGTTAGGCTTGGGTGCCGGGCAAGAATGCAACGGCAGATCTCTCTTTCTCCTGCCTCTCAGCTCTTTCGCCTGCCGTGAAGATCAACGCCAAAGGCCGAGAGGTCATCTATCTGGCCAAGGGGGAGTCGGTGAAGCTGGGGTGTCCGTTTGAGCTGGAGCCCCAAGATGACGGCCCCAATGACTTGGACATCGAGTGGACGCAGATGAATGCCGATCCCACGAATTTGGACAACGTGGTGAGTTTGTTGAGGTCATCCGGACGCAGCGCGCTATTCCGATTTCCAACCTTCCCACATCTTAAAGACAGAACCTCCTTAAAGATGACTACACCAATGCCGTTCAATGGTATTATTTTTATAAAGCAGGAGTATTCACCAAGAGTCCAGGGAACCATTATAACATAATTAATATTTATTCATTGATCTTACTGGTAACTTGTAAACTGCAGCCTCAGCTAATCCGCCCACTTTTCCCCAATGATCGTTCACCCTTCCCTTTATGGGTCTCTTCTAGATGGGGGGACTTCCTTTCCCAGAATTCTCAGCAATTATGATGCCAGCTGGGGGATTCTGGGACTTAGGTTTACACATCTAGATGGACACCTGGTTTAGGAAACTTTGAGCTATGTGGCAGGGGACAGATTGGTGCCTTAGGATAATGGGACTTGTAGTCAAACCCATCTAGAAAGCATCTGCTGGGCTAAGGTTACTCTCTTAGTAGCCTGGCTTTTTAAAAAAAAATTGAAAAAATATTTAGGAAATAAAAAGGGAAATAATTATGTCAAAATTAGCAAAATTATTATTATTATTTTTTTTTGGAACA